CTAGAGTGCTGTACCATTGTAAAATGAATATGTTGTTCCGTAACAAAAGACACGTGACAGTGTTTTTAGTTATAATAGAGGACGGTGTGAGATTATTTTATGGATTACAATAACGAGGGAGCTTAATGACTCGTCACAACCCAGACGAATATGTCGCATACGCTGATGTGAGAGAACCAAACATTGCCAAAAAAGTCAAAAGAGGCTGCAGGCAAATAGACAAACATTGCCCTTGTCCTAACAAAAAAACAAATAATCCTTGAAGATGAAGCCAAAAAGACAGGGCTTGGCTTCTAAATTTGGCTTCAGTCAAAAGCGGCAAAAGATAATTGCATGGCTTCTTTTGGATGATCGATCACACTCCTCCTCATTGCAATCCCTTTTTGGATAGTTGGGGGGGGCTAATGAGAATGGTAAAAGATAGTACATAAGTAAATAACAACGTAGAGAAAAATAATAGTAAATCGAAGAATGACTTTAGAAAATAATAGTAACTAGATTATTAGTTACTATATGCCCTTCATCAGGTTACATGTTAAGATACTTATCAGTAATTTGGAACATTAATGAAAACAATTTGAGTGAAAATCGAAGAATGACTCTTTAGAAAATAATATCTCACCCTTTAATCGGCTAAACTACTAGATTGATATTCTAATTTAACTATATTTTCTAATATGATATTTATTTCTGCTCTAGCGTTAATATGATATTTTAACTTATACCCCGATGAAAATAAATGATTATTTTGGCAAGGGATGAGAATTCCGGTGAACTATTTTTTTTAGGAAAATTCTTTCATTCCCTTCACCTATCAAAATTATTAAATCTACACCGTCATTCTCATTCAACCTACACCAATTTACAAAACGTTTTTATTCTTTTACCCAATAAGATCCTCTTTTGAGTTTCCACTTTCTCTTTCAACCTTCCCCAATTCAAACATATATCCTAATCAAAATGTCATTGGAGTTGGATTAGACTTTACGTTTAAATTGGGTGAGTATAAAGGAGAAAAAGAGGGCTTTATTGATAAGAGGGAATGAAAAAGTGAAGGAGGATCTTACTGGATACTAGAATAGAAGAAATTTAAATTGGGGGTGGTTAAAAAAAAAGAATGGTGTGAATTTAATATTTTTTGTAGACTGGGGTGATGGAATAAATTTTTATAAAGAAAATTCATTCGAAAATATTTTATTGTCATCAAAGCACAAAAAATCATATTGACACCAGAGTAAAAATAAATATCATATTAAAACATAAAATCAAGTTAATGTACCAATCTGGTAATTTAGCCGCATTTAATCCAATCTACTCTGGATTAAATTAATTCCAAAAGTAAAACCATCACTCTGCTGATCAACAACAAAGATCAGCTGAAGGAGTATTAGTATACATTAATATTGTATATTTAGTTCAAGGAAAAATTATGTCAATGCCCCAAATTTGATAAACCCATGTGACCCAGCCCCACCTACTTTTATCTACATGCTTAAGCCCTCAATTACTCGAAAAAATATGGCTTAGGCCCTCCAGCTCATCTACAGCCTAATACTATGTGTATTTGACCCAAAGGCCCAACTTTGCGTCTCTCACAAAAACTACATGTTTACCAAAAAACCCAACTCATCTTTTTCCACCTCTTCATTCACTGTCCTTATCTTAAAATCCAAGCGCCAAACCCTCAACCCTAACAATCTCATCTCCTTCTTCTCCTACTGCAATCAGTCCTCCCCCCGCCGCCGCCCTCGACCTCATGATCCCCATTCCCTCATCTTCTTCTCATGCTCCTTTCTCATCCTCTCCTCTCCTCTCTCTCTCTCTCTCTCTCTCTCTCTCTCTCTCTCTCTCTCTCTCTCTCTCTCTCTCTCTCTCTCACCTTCTCTAAGTCCTCTCCCAAGCCCTAATTCTAACTCTTCCAACCAACCCTCTCTCCTTCCTTTCCTCCTTCCTTCCTGTTTGCGTCGAAAATTGTTGTATTCATTGCGGTATTCATTACAACTTCGGTCGTTACAATGAAAACAAAAAGATAGTCTTTTTAGAAGACTTTTACACAATGAAAATAAAAAGATATAATTCTCGTCAAACAAATACAGAGATCGTTTATCGGTCTTCTGCTTATGTGGGATCTTTGCCTGTGCCGGGGTTTATCCGTGGACGACCGTTGATTAGATCCGGTTGTTGAAAATTCAGCAGAGCTTCACCTTCACCGATGAAATATTTGATTTAAAGCGCTGAGATCGACCAAGCGAAATCAGTAGCTCTTCTCGAGATCAAGACCAAGCCTGATCTCAAGGAAATTTGGGAAACGAGCGTCGGATCTCTCGAACTCTCCTTCTTTATGCCGAAGAATTCGCCAAGATCTGTCAACCTTCGCTGAAATTCGTGCTCCTTTGTCTCGTCAATCCGGTAGCACCTCCTCCTCTTGATAATTAATCCGCCCCCACAATGAGCCCCCGAGCTCGTATTTATAGGCTTCAGTTGGGGGGTTTTGGATGAGAATGAATGATTCGTCCATATCTTCAGTTAATAACTGATTAACCATGTTAGGGGATGATATCAAGTCAATTAGGAACCTCAAGAACGACCAAATCCTGAGAAAAACCGTCAAAAAATCGAACTGAGGTCGAAACAGCGCGCGCGACACAAATCTGACCCGCGCTTGTGCGGGTCGGATCGGACCCGACCCGCGGTTACTGTAGCGCGGGCCGAAAAATCCGACCCGTGGGTACTGTAGCAAAATTCCAACCCGTGGTACTGTAGCAGAATTCCGACCCGTGGTACTGTAGTAAAAGTCCGACCCGTGGCACTGTAGCAAAAAAGCCGACCCCGCGGCACCGTAGCAAAAAATCCGACCTGCGGGCACTGTAGCAGAATTCTGACCCGTGGTACTGTAGCAGAATTTCGACCCGCGGGCACCGTAGGTAAAAGACAGTACATAAGTAAATAATAATGTAGAGAAAACAATTACTTTTGAGTTTAACAGACATAGAATAAGTACCTATGGTTCTCAAGTGAATTTTAACATACATATGTTAACAATTACTTTTGAATTTTAACAGACATAGGATAAGGGAAGTGATTGATGTTTTACATTATATAGCATTATTCTATTTCTCCCCTTCCTTTTAGTAGTAGTTGGTGACAATATCCTGATCTCATCTTTTGGTACATTATGGTTCTTATAATTCAAAAGTTAATAATTACTCAATTATATTTAACATGGAACATATAAATGTTTACCGTCAATCAACTATAGTTTACGTGTATTAGGTAAAATATAACAGTCAATCTACTAAACTTAACATTTAAAAGAAAAAAATTTAATAGTTACTCAATTATACTTTACATGGAACAACTGAAGGTTAACAGTTAATCAACTATAGTTCACATGTTTTAGGTAAAACTTAATAGCTAATCAACTAAACTTAACATTTAAAAGAAAAAAAGTTAACACTCACTCAACTATACTTAACATGGAATATGTAAACATTAACAGTTAGTTAGCTATAGTTCACGTGTGTTAGGTAAAACTTAACAATTAATCTACTAAATATTTACATACCCATTATTTTAAATGAACATTTTTGTACGTAGGCTTTTATTTCTCAATTACCAACGCATTATGTACAAAGTACATATAATTTCCAAGCCAATAAAATGACCTATGTACAATTAAATTAAACAAAGACTAGGCCTCTCAACAATATCTCTAATATCCTATGAATGACTAACAAAATAAAATTAAAAAATTATAGTAATTTGAGCTGCTTCTTTTGATGAATTCGATCTTTAATATTATAACAAAGCTCCAAGTAACAAAATTCTTGTGCGGCATTTCATCAAACACTTTTATTGCATCTAACTAACTTGAAGTGCCAAAGCTCTAACCCTAGCCTCCAATTCTGCTTCGACCCTTTCTTCAGCCTCCAAATCTCCAACTTCACTAGCAGGCACTTGCATCTCGCTCAAAAATAGCAGCATAGTCTAGTCATTGACTGATGTCATCTTTCTCAGCTCGGCACACAGAACCTTATAATCGGGATTCCTCCCCTGTTGCAAACCTTTCCATGGTAGATCTCTGAGCTCCTTCTACTCCTTCACCTTCTCCCCCATGCAATCCTCGGTCTGAATTTAGACATCGAGCCCAAGCACCTTTCTTCAAGCTCTTGCATCTAGGGTTTCTACATTTGTGAGAGCAAAATCAATAGATTCTGATGAGGAAGAGGAGGGAGGAGAGAGGGTTGGTGGTTAGGGTCAGAATTAGGGCTTGGGAGAGGACTTAGAGGAAATGGGAAAGGGAGGAGAGGATGAGGAAGGAGCATGAGAAGAGGATGAGAGAATGAGGATTAGGAGGTCGAGGGTGACGGCGGGGGAGGAGTGATTGCAGTAGGGGGAAGAATGAGATGGGATTGCGAGGGTTGAGAGTTTGGCACTTGGATTTTGAGATGATGACAAAGAAGAAAGAGGAGGAAGAAGATGAGTTGGGTTTTTGGATAAAATATAGTTTTTGGGAGAGGGGTAAAGTTGAGTTTTTAGGTCAAATACACGTAATATTGGGCTGTAGATGAGCTGGAGTTGTTAAGCCATAATTTTTCCAGTAATTAAGGGTTTAAGCATGTAAATAAAAGTATGAGGGGCTAGGTCACATGGGTTTATCAAATTTTGGCCTCGATACAATTTTTCCTTAGTTCTAAGGAAAAAGGTGAAGATGACATAAAACAAATAACATTACTCACACAAGATTCAATAAGAGCTCGTTTGGTTGGGTGAAATGTATGGAGAAATGGACTGTAGAATTGCCAAGCTTTACAGCAAAATCGTCTTTTTAAGAGGTGATTTTACTGTAAAGCTGCCAAAAGCGTCAAGAGACGATTTTGCTATAAAGTCGCTAAAAACGTCAACCGTCCCTTTCCATCTCAAATTTTCCCAACTAAATGGGCCCCAAGTATTAAAAGCAAAAATCTATTCACAAATAGTGCCAGCAACGGGGAAGAAGATCCACAGGGAGCTGATATAATACATCATCTACCTCTGAGCTTCTGGTTCTGGTACTTTGCATGTTTCAGAGAGAGTAGCTTATCTTCAATAAAATGAGAATATATTGAGTTCGCATACAAAGATGAAGCAATGATCATGCTGAGGAATTTGATTGATGGACGAGTATGCAGAGATCGAGGCACAAAAACATAGCGAGCATTTATTTCTCACTTACCAATCCTACCTACACCTGTGAACTTGGATTAGTACCATTTAATGCTCTTACCTTTTCATTGAATCTTTCTTCTATTCTTCTCTCCCCATCTCTCTCTCTCTCTACCAAAATATTCAAGAAGAAGGAACCTTTTTTGAAGGATCACAAAGAGTTACTGCTCATCTTGTTGTTTCATTTTCTTCTGTTTGTTGAGATGGAAGAAGAAATGGGTAGCTTGCTATGACCTTGATCTTGATTTTTTTGCTCTCCCTCAAAATTGTAATCTTGGTGAGTTCTTACGAAGTTTGGAAAGCTGCAGCCTTGGTTTCTCATTTAGGTCTTACAATATTTGCCTAAAAGATGATGGGTTTTTGTATCAAGCTACTTTCTTTGTTGTGTCATGGCGCCTACCATCAGAATTGAGCTCTGTTCTCTCAACCAATCTATGAAAAAAACCCAAGGGTGGCATCAATTTTGTCCAGTTGGGTCTAATCATGGTCTTTAGAGCATCCATTTTCTTGATCAAAGTTGTGATCTTGGCATTCTTCAAGAGGGTTTCCTCTCTTGGCTCAATGTCCTCCATTGCTGTCTCTTATGGTGAAAATGGACCTGTCTTTTGTGCTATAAGCTCAGATGGCTCTCATTCTGTGAACTGCTTCGGCGCCGATAATTCGATAGTCTATGGTGCTCCTTCAAGAATCCCTCTGGTAGGACTAACTGCGGGTGATAGCTTTGTTTGTGGTCTTCTCTTAGATTCAAAGCAGCCCTATTGTTGGGGAAGCAATTTCTATGTGAAAATGGGTGTTCCTCAACCAATGGTAGGAAATGCTGTCTATTCTTCCATCAGTGCGGGCGACCACCATTTATGTGGACTAAGAATACACAGCAAAGAATTGCATAAAGGAACTTCTATAATTGATTGTTGGGGTTATAATATGACTGCTTCACATGAATTTGGAGGTAGGGTTTCATCGATCACAGCCGGTTCAGTGTTCAACTGTGGCCTATTTGAGCATAGTTCATCAGCATTTTGCTTTGGGGATGAAACCGGTAGCAATGTCATAAGCTTGACACCTAGAGGATTGAATTTTCGGTCAATTTCAGCTGGAGGTTTTCATGTTTGTGGGGTTTTGGAGAATTTACAAGTGTTTTGTTGGGGAAGAAGTGTAGGAGGGAATAGAGATGATATCGAGCTTGTACCAATGGATCCAATGCTTTCAGTTGTCGGAGGAAGGTTTCATGCTTGCGCAATTAAGCGCGTTGGTCAGGAAGTTGTTTGTTGGGGTTTACGACTTCCAAATAGTCTGCCACCGCCGAGAGAAATTAGGGTTTATGAAATGGCAGCCGGAGATTATTTTACTTGTGGGATTACTGCCAATAAATCACTGAAACCACAATGTTGGGGCACCGGTGGTCCTTGGTCATTGCCTATCGCAGTATCTCCTGGAGTCTGCACTTCGAATCCTTGCAGCCCTGGATTCTTCGAATTCAACCAAGAAAGCTTGGGTTATCGATTTTGCAAGCCCCCTAACGCTAGGGTTTGCTTGCCTTGTGGCAACAATTCAGGTCCTAGTTGTCAGTTCAACTGCTCAAAGTGTAACTCACCTGAGTGCATTTCATCTTGTAGTTCAGGAAACAAGTCTAAGACTTTGAGGTTTGCACTTCAGCTACCAGTTTTCATTGGAGAGATTGTTTTCGCAGTCGCATTGATATTTTCAGTTTCCTTGGTTGCTCGCCTTTATGTTCGGTGTAAGTTGAGGAAATGTCGGTGCAGTGGAAGTCAGTTAATGAATAGGACCAATCGAACATGTTCATTCCATAAGGAGTCTATAAAAGCTCAGCCTGATATGGAGGAGCTCAAGATTCAGAGAGCTCGAACTTTCACTTATGAGGAGCTGGAAAAGGCTACGGGTGGTTTCAAAGAAGAATCACAAATAGGAAAGGGTAGCTTCTCGTGCGTCTTCAAAGGGGTTTTAAAGGACGGAACCGTTGTGGCAGTGAAGAGATCAATAGTGGTATCATCAGACGTGAAGAAGACTTCAAAGGAGTTCAGGACTGAACTGGACTTGCTCTCGAGGCTCAACCACGCACATTTGCTGAACTTGCTTGGCTACTGTGAAGAAGGCGGAGAGAGGCTCTTAGTATACGAGTTCATGGCTCATGGTTCTTTATACCAACATCTTCATGGTAAAGATCCGACCCTCAAACAACAATTGGATTGGGTACGGAGAGTCACAATTGCTGTTCAAGCTGCAAGAGGACTTGAGTACTTACATGGGTACGCTTGCCCACCTGTAATTCATCGAGACATCAAATCTTCGAACATTCTAATTGATGAAGAGCACAATGCTAGGGTTTCCGATTTCGGTCTCTCTCTTTTAGGTCCAACAGGTAGTAGCTCCCCTTTATCTGAACTCCCTGCAGGAACTCTTGGCTACCTTGATCCGGAATATTACAGGCTTCACTATCTCACAACAAAATCCGATGTCTATAGCTTCGGGGTTCTCCTTTTGGAAATTCTAAGTGGTAGAAAAGCGATTGATATGCAATTTGAAGAAGGCAATATAGTAGAATGGGCAGTGCCACTTATCAAAGCCGGGAACATTTCAGCAATTTTAGACCCCGCACCAAAATCTCCTTCAGATATTGAAGCTATTCAAAAGATTGCAACTATAGCGTGTAAATGTGTGAGAATGAGAGGCAAAGATAGGCCTTCGATGGATAAAGTGACAACTGCATTAGAGAGAGCTCTAGCTTTGTTAATGGGCACTCCATGTAATGATCAACCGATATTGCCTACTGAAGTGGTGCTTGGAAGCAGTAGATTGCATAACAAACCAACGTCACAAAGATCCTCAAATCAATCCGTTTCTGAGAATGAGACGAGTGAGTTAGAGGATCAGAGGTTCGAGTATAGAGCTCCTTCATGGATTACATTTCCAAGTGTGACCTCTTCGTCCCAGAGGAGGAAATCTTCGGTCTCTGATGCTGATGGAGATGTGAAAATTTCAGAAGGGAGGAATTTGGGGAATATTAGTACTGTCGGAGATAGTTTGAGATGCTTGGAGGAAGAAATTGGGCCTGCCTCTCCTCAGGAGGATTTATTCTTGCAACATAACTTCTAAAGATCGAAGGGTTACCTGCTTCTTTGATAATGGTCATCTTTGGATCGATATCAAGGTCAGAGATGAAAACTAGTTTAACTTTCAAGTATATTTCTTGCCATTTGTTTTTCAAGAAACCTGTTTTTATTGACATTGTTAACAACATGCAGTCTGTCTCACCATCCACCTTTGATATTGGGATATTTCCATAGAAATGTGAAAAGGAACTTGTATTTGAGAGAAGATAGTGATTGTTTCTTTACGTTAGCACAAATCAAATATGTGGGCTGTATATTGTAGCTTTATGTAGTATTTGTATATGTCCTTCAACCCTCCTGTTGGAAATGAATATAATCCGCGAGTATGATTGTCTAAAATTATTTTCAGTTTGTTCATTTATTAGATTCTTGATGAGATTTTGATGAACATTTCAATTAGAGTTTGTATGCTCAAAGAGTTAGTTCCTATATGAGGTTGGAGGAGATTTTAGCAATTGCAATACACAAATTTAATGGTTGTATATTTTCTTATGTGAAATTTACTTGGATTCAGTTACTGCAGTGGCATCAAAGGTTCTTTGTGAGAAAGGAATTAAACCATATTACTGTAAAAACAATAACTTTTTTCAACAATTAAATTTCTTTTTGTGTTTCATTATAGATTTGTGTGGTTTCATTATTATCTTTTTCATGAAGCAGGATAGCTAAATCTTTCACATTCCTTCTTGTGAGAATATGTTTGCTTTTGGCATTTTGCACATTGGTGAACATATATGTTCCCTCTTTTCATCTTTACACATTACATGTTTACTTTCATGATTAACATCTGGACTGGTTATATAATGGTGTAATAGTGTTGATATTAATTTGTAGCCATGTTGAATGCATGAATAATGAAATGTGATAAACATGAGCACAATTGTTGTTGTTCACATACTTATAGTAGTTAAGGTTTCATTATTCAGAATATAGACGTTTGTTTTTCTATACCTGATGCATCACCATATTATAGTTGGCGTAACTCGTGTGACGAGTTTTTTAACTTGATGCATCACCATATTATAGTTTAGCATAAATCACTTAACGAATGAGATGGAGTAAATTGATTCTAGTTAACTTTTACAACATCCACAAAGATGTAGCACATTTCTTGTTACATGCATGTAATGTTTGGGATATTGTCAATGTTATTGATACTGTGGTGCAAGTTGCTATGTTGGTTGCTCCCTGCATATATTTTCTATTAATATTTTTGTATCAAAAGTATGTCACAATCATTTATTCCGTTGTCTGACTTCTGTTCTATTTCGCACGCCTTTAAAAGAAATTCTTGTCCAAATTTTGTTGTTCTATTTCTTACATCTTTCAAAGAAGTTTTAATTCGAATATAGCTGTTTGAATCCTGGGGACAAAACATATTTTGTTTATAGAGGTTTAAAACCTTTCTACTTTAAGTAGGGCACATGATGCATGTTGATTTTTATATATTTAACTTACGCTACACTGCATAGAATTATATTTGATCAAGCACTCTTTACGTGTGAGCAACAAGAGGTATAATTTATATTTTTATTCTTCATATTTCATTATATATTGAGAAAAAGAATGCATTCACTAGGAGCGCACATTTTACATTTTCGATATTAGATTGTCAGTATTTTACACGTTCGCACACCAAAGCACTGAAGAGTAAACATACGAAGTATAATGGTGGCATTGTTATAAGAACAAAAAAGGAGTTTATTTCACTGAACAACACACCACCACCACCACACCCCCCAACTTGGGGTTCTGCACATACACGCCGCATAACATTGTCTCTCCATAACTCCCCGATTACTAGGTGTCTCAGACCCCCGCCCCCCCACCCACCACACGACAGCACACCTAACGCCACCCCACACCCCCTGATTATCCCAAACAACCCCCATTGTCTATAATTTGCAAGTAACTAAAATTTTTTGAGAGGAAAAAAATCAAACTTTAGGGGAATGACTATGCAGCTTGTAATATAAAGTTTGAGAATTTTTTACTCAAAGTCATTTTATTCATCTACAAAGCCCTAACAGGGGGTGGGTGTTGTGCCTCGAGAATCCAAACCAATCGCCGAGAAAAGATAAACCAACAACCAAAATCAATAGCACAAACAATCAAACACCAGTTTTACGTGGTTCGGCAAGATGCCTACGTCCACGGGGCAAGGAGGGGGGAGTTTTCACTATTAGAAATCAAGAGGAACAAACTAGGGTTACAATCTCTCACCAAAACCCTCAACAACTCACTCTTAACCTCTCCAATTGCTCCAACAATAGAAGCCCAAGAACTCACCCTCAATGGATGCTAAAACCCCTTGCTATCCAACCCTAAAACCAAGTTTGGGTATTTATAGAAAACCCAAACAAAACGGGTCTGGAAAACAGACCCAGCCCAAAACCGCTTCGACGGTCGACCGACACGGTCGACCGTGATCCATCGCGGTCGACCGGACCGGTCGACCGCCCTCCATCCAGCGGCTGATCCAAACGTCCAGAGAGTTCGGCGGTCGACCGTGGCGGTCGACGCCACCAGAGCAGAAACATCTGCAGTCGACCGCGCCGGTCGACGCCACCAACACGAGCCAGTAAGCCTTGTGCACGATGCGTCGACAGGCGGTTCGACAGCGCACCAATCTGGCTGAACCTGAACTTTCTGGGCAATTCTACAATCTCCCACCCTCGGCGAAGGATTCTAATCAACAAACTGAGGCCGACTAGTGATGCAAACGCAAGTGCTCAACCTGCTGCATCCAATACGTCATGGCAACGGAACTCAATGCAACGGACTTCCATCCACAGCGACGTGAGACCAAACGGACGTGTTGAACACATCAACACCAAACATACTGTGTCACTCCAAATCGGCTGCATCATAAAGACTGCCTACGTATCCTCTTGCCCAAGGAATCAAGCCTTCACGTAGTTCAGCCTATGGGCCTCCAAAGGCCCTCAATCCAATTTGCGGCTGATAGCATCATCAACGACCCCAAACTGAAGCGATCCGAACACCTCCACCTGAGGTGAAACAATGGCCGTATCCAAAAAATATCCACCAGCTGCATCCAAGTCAACCACCTTATCATCTGCCCCCATAAATAAATGACTCTCACGCTGTGCCACCTCAGCTGGAATCCCAACCAATGCAGAATGACCTGGAGTATGTGGGAAAATCCCACCCAATGTGGAGTAGCATCAACCTCCACCTGCTGCGATATCCCTCTGACCTGATCAATACTCTCCACCTGCCGAGAGTCCAAAGTGACAAACCTGCTCAGACCAAACTCAGAAGCTCCCCACTGATAGCCGAACGAGCCTCTGAATCCTAAATGCGCAATCGGATCCAATCTCACATCAGCGATGTGACCAAGTGCTGGGTAGCCCAATATCCGACGCTAACCAAAATCTAAAGCAGCTCCACTAGATCTAACAACTCTATACGCAGCAGTCGGCAACCTCATAAGATAGCCCAATCGTGTCGAAGCCTGAATACCAGATCCACTGCTCGACAACCAATACCGATCCTCCTCCAGAAAAGAACGGCCCACTAAATCCGCCATCTCATCACGTCGCCCCACTGTCTCCTTCCCTCTGAAGTGTCTCCAACTGCCGTGAGCTCGGCACCAATGCAAGAAAGGACTCCTACTAGAATAAGTACGACTGGTAACCTTTCTGCCCATACACCTCCTCCAACTGTTGCGGACTACTAGGTCTTTATACCAACGGGACTTGGTTGCAACCCAAATATGCCTAGTACAATCCCCAACATAGGAAACAAAATAACGATTACCTCCGGATGATGCCTCCTCGGAAAGCCCCCAAATGCCTGACTGAACACCTCCAATAAGACCTCTCGATCGATGGATAGAAGTGCTGAACTCCACCTCGGTCTCCTCGCTCATCCCAATTTGCTCACAGGACTTCAATCTGCAGGTCATAGCACTCCTCAACAATCTGTGCACGGTATAACCAATAATATATCCAGCATCAAACAATGCCACAGTCTAGCCATAGAAGTAGTCAGCGCCCTATCAACTACCGTGCTCCCAAGCAGATAATACAAGTTACTCCGCCTGACTCCCTTCATCACAATCATGGACCCCGATGTGACCTTCAAGCGAGAATCCGCCAAGGTCACCCTATAGCCTGATGCCTCTAATACCCCAAGTGAAATGATGTTCTTCCTCAGTTGAGGAACGAACCTCACATCAGCCAACTCCCGGATCATCCCGTCACTCATCCGAATCTGAACGGTACCAATACCACCAATAGGGCATCTGTGATCATTACCCATGAGAACAGCATCCCCTCTTTCCAACTCCTAAAAGCTGGAGAACCAATCCCTTCTAGGGCATATGTGGAAAGTAGCACCAGAATCCAACATCCACTCGGTGGAGTCGACAACATCAACTGACGGAAGAGCTGGGCACGAATAGTCCGAAGAATCTGAATCTGAAACATCACCACTAGCCTTGGCAACATTTACCTCTGAAGCTTGAATAGCTTTCCCTTTATTCTTCACGGCTTGCAATTTTTGGCATTCGGCTTTCCAATGTCCATCCTCTCTACAAAAGGCACACTGATTCCTACCAACTGCAGGATGCCCCACTCTAGACTGCGACCTTCTTCCACGGTTTGGACTTCTAGCTCTTGCAACCAATGCCCCCGCAACCGGGCAACCGGCTCAATGGAAGTCTCCTTGTCCTTCTTTCGAAGTTGATAGTTCACAAGGGCTGCGGTGACCTCACTATACGAAAGAGATGCATTCCCATTAATAAGAGTGAGGACGAAGGTCTCATATTCCTCGTCGGGCAAGGAACTCAATAACAACAATGCTTTATCCTCATCTTCAACAATGACATCTACATTCGCCAAATCTGCAAGTAGCTTCGTGTAGTGGTTCATGTGATCACTAATAGATGTCCCCTTCTTCAATTGGAAGCGATAGCTCTTTGTCAAATATTTGCCCTCTAGGACCTCCCAAACCTTCTTTGCCGAAGTTTCATTCATCACATCATATTTTAGATCTTGGGTAAGGCAAGACCTAATCACACCACACGCCGTTCTATTCATCTTATTCCAAATCTTTTCATCCATGTTGTCCGGTTTCCCGTCCAACTCCAACGTATCTGTTTTCGTCAAAAGTTGGTTTTGCTGTGGAATTCATTATATCTTCGGTCGATTACAATAAATTCAAAGAAATAGCCTTTTTATAAGATTTCTTTTACACAACAAAATGAAAATTATA